ATAAGAGATATATAGAGGGACAATACATCATTTAACTTGGAAGAAAATACCATAGACATTAGAGTGATACCCTACTTATCATAGAAGAGATACGCGATGACAAGTAACTAACACAAAAGCCCAATTATACAGTTATTTAATCTCACCAACCATTTGAACATTATTCAATAGTTATCTTTCTTGTTGTTGATTTTGCCCCCCAATGAAATGGGCCTCATTTCGAGCAGGTGAATCTTGAATGAACTGTCGAAGATAGCCTTATCGGATAAGTCTCTCAATTTCATTTTTTGAGAGGCTTACAGGCTTCAGTGGTGTGCCCACGACTACGATGGAAATAACAAAATTGATCCTGATTTTCCGTATTTGGCTTCAAAGGATTAAGCTACTTGATATTTTCTTGATCGCGAACGACCATTAGTACATTGGTTCGAGATGTGTTGAGAGGCATAAACTCTTTTTCTTGTCGAAACTCATGTCATGGCAATGGTGTCAGGCTATTCTTCCCTTGTTTTTTTTGCTGTGAGAATGACTTATCAAATATAAGAGCAATTTTGCGTTTCCCGAAAGGTTGCTCAAATTGCTTCATGTGAGTATTTATGGCTTCATCTGCAGATATTTGTGCTTCCACACGATGGATCAAGTCGGCATATGAATAAACTATGTCTCGCATGAGTGCCGAATAGAAGGGGCCATGACGAAGGCCTCCAAGAAAGACCCCTCTTAGTAATTCAGGGTCTACTCCTGAAATTTGTCGAGTCTCGGTGGAAAATCGCTGAAAATACTCATTCAACGGTTCTCCTTCATTTTGACGAATCTCAGAGAGCTGGGAAGAATCCTTATGAATTCTTCGATTGGCTACAAACTGTTCGACGAACACTTTGGCCAATTTGACGAATGAAGGAATCGTTCCATATGGAAGCGAATAGAATCACATTCGTGCTTGTCCCTTGAGGGTAGCAGGGAAAACTTGACATAAAAGTGCATCTGAGGCTCGCTGGATGTGCATGATGGTCCTATAATGATCGATATGCTCGTACAGGTCGGATGTCCCGTCATAAGAATTGATGCTCGATAGTTTGAATCCTGCTGGAATGGGGTGTTGAAGAATAGCTTCGGTCAGGGGTGATGACTCCTGCAAATTCCATTGACGATGAGATTGTCTTATACCCCTTATGGGAAACTCTTCTCGGACAAATCTTCGTAATTCATGGCGTAGGGTGTTACGAGGGAGTTCAACAATACATTGTCGGGCTGAGTCCTCAGATATGTCCCGAGGAATGCGAGGTTGGCGACTTGCATGCGAAGGATGGGTAGAGCTTGCTGTGTCAGCAAGCTCATTCTTTTGATGTGCCGGAGGACGCATCCTTGATGGAGGAAGGGGAATCTCACCATGAAGATGTTCAGGTTGAACATCTTCGAGCCCTGCTGATCTCGCGGGAGAAGAATCTCCTATTGAGATACTAGTGTCGGTTGTCGAGTTTCTCGCAGGAGTTGAAGGATCTCATTATAAAATTCTTCCATCTTTCGTATTCGCTCCTCCGATGAAGGTCCTGAGGTTCCTTCGCCAACAACATTTTGCCCCCCCCCCCATAAGGTAAAAGGAGGCAAACATGATGCGTCTATGATTCATAGATTGATTTCTGAATTGGTGGGAGTTGGAGCGAGAAGCTCCCAAGATACGATTGCTGCGCCTGTTGGCCATCGAAGTAACTCGGGCGTTGGGCAGGATCCAGCGGTGGTCGTGGAGGAGTTTCTTCCCTCCAATCCTTCTCTTCTCCTTCTCTTCTTCTTCTCTTCCTCTTATTGCTTGGGTCCCCCCTCAAGAGAAATGAGGGGTCTATTTATATATTTTCTGGAGTAGCATGGCCTATAAATAGGCGAGAGATCAGGGGTAAATGTAGAGTGGTTAGATGAATGGCCGATATTGAATCCCTTTTATCGTGTACCGTTCATCAGACATTTGAAGGTCTTAATGATTTTGGAATTCGGCGATCTTGAGCTCATTAGATTCGTCTCGTCGAGCCGCTCAATTTGACTATAAGCTCGTTATGTTTGGAAACCGTTTGGTAACTCAAATTGTGACATGAACTTTCCAACAGCACTTCGGGTCCTTGATTTGGACTCATTTGGGCTCGGATTGAGTTGAATTTGGTGTCGTTGGGTTCGAATTTCCGAGACGCTCAGTTTGACTGTAAGTTTGCTGAAATTGGAGTTCAGGTGATCCCGGATTTAATTTTTGAAGTTTCTGGCTTAATTTTGCCTCGAGATTCGTGCCGGATCAAGAAATTTTTCGATGATATATCAAGTAGTAAGAATGCAATAACCCAAAAAACTTATTTGCTTACTAGGCCGGTCCAGTTGAACTACTAACCCATTTGGCTCGTAGGTCCACCACCCTGGCATTAGCTTTGGGAAGGATCAAGTATTAATCTTAAAACATGATTGAGCGGGGGTGGGTAAGAGCGAGAGACTGATGACAAATAAGAGCTTGAATTCAAAAGGAGCAGGTGAGTAAGCAATCGAGCAACAATCAAGAACGGGAACAACGAAATGAGTAAAAAGTCACTTGTTGCACAAAGAGAGAGAGAGAGAGAGAGAGAGAGAGAGAGAGAGAGAGAGATCAAAGGGATAAGTGGGGGCTCATGGTCAACTATGAGAGTTCTTCAAGGAAGAGAGGTCGAGCTTGCTAGTTGAAAACTTGCACCGGGACTTTCTTTTTTTTAGGAATAACCAGAAAAACTTTAAACCTCTTATTTATTTATGTTAATATTACAATGTCTTATGGGTATGAATTAAGGTGGCAAGTTCTTATAAGAGCCAAATTAAGATTGCACTTAAATGTCAAACCCTATCCCTAACATTTACCTACATTGATTTATAAGTAATTTTATCCAACTAAAATTCAATTGTATGGGCAATCAACTTTGAATTGGAGACTTGAGGAATTTAACCCACAATCATCATATCTAAACTTTAAGCACAGATTTAAAAGGGTGTTTTATTTGAATAGATCATATAAGCAAATCTTAGATGTTTGGAATCAACATGAATAAAGGGTTATGATATTTATTCTATAATTTGATTATAAGCCATGATTAATAATCTCTTCTAATGTGAATGTATGAGTTAATTATATTTTATGTTTGGATTCTTTAATAAATGATATTATAAATGATTAATAAGACGGATAATGGGGAGCATTCATCTTATGCTATATAATCAAGAAAAATAACTCAGGTTTATCCTTGTAAATCCAAGAATTACAAGGTTGTGTATTAGTAATAAGAGTTTAAATGAATTAGCTTTATATTATAATTATTTTTAAATACGACAGCATGATAATTCTAATATAAAGATAAGTAAAAATATCAATATAAATGAAGCAATTCATAGATTATATATATATAGGTGTGTGTGTGTGTTTGGTAGAAATTTAAGAATTTATTGATAACAAGAATATGCTTAAATTGGTTGTTTTGATTATTCTGGTGTGCATTAAATTTAACGCATGATTGGCCTAGCCGCTTTTGAATCTAGGTATTGTAATGTGACGTGTGTTGAACTAAGATATATCATAGTCATGATTAATAAATCATATGTCATGTGTTCGTCAGGCAGGTAACTCTTTACTCTTTAGTCATTACAGGATAAACTTATTGTAAGCTTATCTAATTGCTAGAGTATATTATGGAATATTTATTTATTTATTTATAGTGTTCATGCATGTGTCCACATTGATATACGATATTTAGTTAGTTTCATTATGTTGATTATTGCATATATTGTTATGATGTTTATGTGCAATGCATGGTTGATATGAAATAAATCTTGCTCATACAAAGGAAGAACAGTTTTACTATGTGGCAGACTTAAATCATATTGATTATATAATTTTTGTTACTACATCTTGTTCATGAAATAATATTTATATAATACATGCTTGCATGTTTGATGAATGTGAATGTTAGTGGCACTTATTTGTTGATTTGCTTGGCTAGCATGCCAATAGAGTGAAGACTCTCTTGGAGTTTATTGGACCCCACCAAGTGTTTGAAAATTAAGGGTATCACAAATAACCAATTATGTATAAAATGTATAATTATATATTCAAGTATAAAATGTATAATTAAAAAGATTGATGAGATATTTCTAAATCTATAATAAAAATGGCATGCATGCACATGGATGATTTAGTCTATGAATGCAACAATTATCATTTTACACATTTTCTTATAAATTATGTTGCATTGTAACCACCAATCAATTATTTCCATATCTAATAATATTTAGCATACAAGTTTAGACTGTTTTGATATACTAATTATGATTGTATAAAATAATATTTGTATTATTACCTTTGCTTCTTTCATTGATCATATTATGTCCTATGACTTATCATTTATTCCTTTGCTAGTAGATTTCACCAATTGAGTTTGTTTCCTTACAAACTCACACCTATTCTTTTTTATGATTTTTAGGTTATTAGCTGTGCATCATTTAAAATAATAGTTTCCAAATTTATGTTTCCAGCATCTTGTGATATGACTAAGGTTATGTTATCTAAATAATCTTATAATAGTTTATCTTTTAGATGAGTTATTATGATAGTTAAGTTCATCTTATAGATTGATGGACAAATATTTAGATCTCATGGGATTTTAGAGGTTGTAATCATATTTTTTATGAATATTTATCATGGTACATAAATTTCTACATGTTGATTAACTCCAAATTAATCAACTCACCCCACTCTTTCAGGTTGCTGTTGCTTTTCCTCCAGTCTCGATGGGCTAATCATAAAAAAAATAATTTCCCAATGTCAGACAAAAGAGGAACAAAAAAATGGTTTTTTTTGGATCAAAGTACTTTTACATGAGCTCAATATTTTAAGACTTATTTCTTAAAAATCAATAATCGAGTTCCACTACTCAAAAACAGTTCAACAAATTAATGATGAACAACACGGATGAAGCGGAAACAAAGGTTTCCATGCAACTCACCCTATTGAAGCCAGCTATCAAGGATATTGGAACCCAGCCTTGTTCATCCATATTCTGCCTCAAGTATAAATCTTTGCACAAGTTTTCCAAGCTGACACAAGGAAACATAAGAGATATGTAACTCCACAGCAGTATCTACTCGAAACAACTGAGACCAAGTAAACTTCTATGCATACCTAAAATAATAATCTATTTGTTTTAGCAACATAGCGCGCTGAGGGTCAACAGCAGGAAATAACATTACTTGTGGAGTATGGGCTGGATGAGAAGCGAATGGGACACCTCTAAGGGACTCGGGATGCGTGGGTGCAGCAACATAGTAAATGGGAGATTGAAAATCTGAGAAAAAAGTTAAGCCAATCAGTTTATCAAATATGATGATACAAATTGAGCAGGTGATGTCGCCAACAGCTAGAAGGTTTGTTATTTACCTGGAAATCCCATAGGATTGGAAAAAGGTATAACAGATGGAGGAGGTGCAACGAAGGGTGCTGCTGCTACAGATGGAGCCCTTGGGTATGGCCCAACACCTCGCTGTTGATGTAGCTGTTGCAAGTGGACACCTCTACCAATATTCCGATGACTCCATTCATTACCTCCACGATCCCCATCGCGCCTGTTACCATAATTTCCATGGTGGCTATTGCTTCCCCTTCTGCCCCCACCGTAGTTCCGCTGATGATCATACCCCCCATGGGAATGAGAAGAAAACCCACCGGACTTGGAGTAATGATTCCTTTCCTTATCATTGCTGTTGTTGCTCTGGTTTGGGAAGCCTCTTGGAGAATTTTCCAAAGAGGGTTGTTTGCCCGTCACTGACAGGCTAGCTTCTGTTAAGACTGGCAAGGAAGATGGCATGGCCAGTCCAACATTAGATACTCCGCTGCTACCACCCCCAGTAACTGCTCCGCGCTTCATGTTCTTATCGCGGGGAGACAGAGAATTCTGAGTTGAATTAAGCTTTTGATAATTCTCAGCTTGCCTTGAGGAGGGAGATGATGACAAGGAAACCTAGCACAAAACCAAATAACCACTACGCATACATGATATGATCTTCTAATTCTCTACGAAATTATTGAAATTTTGGCTAAGTTAGATATCTCACCGGCGGAGCCGAGACTGATCCGTCGGAGAGGGCCTTGACTGAATCAGAAGAGGACGATTTTGGCGAAGCCCTGGCAGATTCAGAGAGCGCAGGCCAAGAGGTGGTGTCCATGACGGACCCCACCTCGATCGCACTATTAGATGGAACGTTCCAAGCTGGCTTCTTCCCTCGGCTGATGGGAGAAAAGTCGGCCGCATTGCCACTGCCGCCATGATCCGAACCAGATGAACAGCGTGGCGACTGGGCTTGCACGAATGGCTTCCGCGGATATCGCTCTGGTATCACCATAGAAGCGATCGGGGAGGCCAACGGCGAGGAAAGAGCCAAGGCGTCGTAGCCTTGCGTAAAATCAGAGGAAACATTGGAGATTTCCTGTGCTGAGCGAGGGGACGAGGTAGTATCGACAGAGGATGCCATCGCCGGAAAGAAGTGGTTAATTCTTTAGGGTTCCGATCAAAGAAGCCTGAAGAGAGAGAGGGAGGGAGGAGGGGGATTATGTTCTGCACCGATGAAACGGGATTGAGAAAAAACTTAGTGATGCATTCTTCTTTCCTTCAAAAGAAAAGGGATCCGATTGCAGCACAAGCGAGGGAAGGCTCTGTCCCTCTCTTTTGTCTCCACCTCCCTCCTTCCTCGTCTCCTCGGTCAGCTTCGTATTTCCGAAGCCGGGGAGTAGGGGACTCCTTTAAGCTTGGAAAACGGAGAGCGTTTGTTTCCTAATAAGAACAAAATAGGCTTCATATTTTCTTCATCCTTTTATTTACTAAATTGGATTTTCGTATCCTAAATTCCTAATAGCAAATTAGGACCGAAAGGATTGATCTAATGGCATAATTACAAATTAACCTCTTGTTAAGCCAAAAAAATTATATCAGTCATAGTATAATAATCTTTTAAATTAGGTCATTATTTTGGTCAAAAAAAATTTATGAGAGAGATTATATTGTCTCTCTCATAATTCAAAAAATATTAAAAAAATAGAGGAAAATTTTGAAATTGTAATAAAATCCCATATAATTATAGATTACACTAACTAATTTATGCCAACTAAGCTCTTAATTATTTTTTTTTAATTATGACGAGCTAGATTAGAATTATACATTTTTATTTAAAATGGCATTACTATTTTATATTTGTTTAGAAATACCTATAAGATAATAATTTATATAATTATTTGGGATAAGATACAAATTATTACTTTTTTTATAAGTAGTGTGTATTTGCAATTATAACTATGAAATATATGATTGATACGGCATCACAAAATTAGCTTGATCGGGCACGAATCTCGAGGCAAAAGCTAGTTGGAAACTTCAAAAATTAATTTTGGGCGCACCCGAACTCTGATTTCAGCGAGCTTACAGTCAAACTGAGCGTCTCGGAAATACGAACCCAACGACACCAAGATCAACCCAATCCGAGCCCAAATGAGTCCAAATCAAGGGCTCAAAGCGCTGTTGAAAGGTTCAAACTGCAATTTGAGTTACCAAACGGTCTCCGATTTTGACGAGCTTATACTCGAATCGAACGGCTTGACGAGACGAATCCAACGAGCCCAAGATCGCAGAATTCCGACATCATTAAGGCCTTCAAATGCCCAACGAACGGTGCATGATCAAAGGATTCGATATCGGCCGTCCATTCGACCACTCCCTATTCGCCCCTGATCTAACGCCTATTTACGGGCCATGCCACTCCAGAAAATCTATAAATAGAGCCCTCATTTCTCATGAGAGGGGATCCAAGCAAGAGAAGCAAGAAGAGAAGGAGGAAGAGAAGGGGAAGCTCCTCCTCGACGGCCGCCGGACCACCGCCGAACCACCGCAGAAGTCCCGCCGGACCACCACTGGAACCTCGCCGGACCACCGCAGGACCTCCCGACACCACGAAGCATCGTCGGAGTTTCCATTCACCTGCCTTAAGGTCCGACGTTAATCCCTACGTCGGTTGAAAACCCCACTCCTGCTTAAGCCGCACTTTAGTCCCTACGTCCTGCTGAAACTCGATCCTTAAGCCGCGTATCAGTATTCTACATAACCGCTGAAGGCCTACATCCTGCTTAGCCGACGCAGACCGATCGTACCTACTCAAGCCAGACCATTCAACACCCATCTTCCAAGTGACACGGGTCTAACACCTGACTCCTTGTCTCCTACCGCCTACGGTCCTTCTGACCTCTGTCGCCTACTACGGTCCGTTCGACCTCCATCAACAGACAACGGTCTTTCTGACCCTGGTCTCTTGCCGACTGACGGTCCTTTCGACTCCGTCGCCTACTACGGTCCGTCGACCTCATCAACAAACAACGTCTTTCTGACCCGGTCTCCTGCGACTACGTCCTTCCACTAACAAAACTTGTATATGTAACTCCTAACATGTAATGCAATCTATAAGTGCTACATCAATACAAAGCCTTCTCCAAAGAAGGGCTCATTGTAATCGACTCAAATACTAGTGGATCAAATTGGGCCAGGCCCCGTGGTTTTTCCCCTTTTTTCAGGGGTTTTCCACGTAAAAACTCTGGTGTCTCTTATGAATGCTACACCCTCTCACTTATCTGCTTGTGTGCTGGATCTTCGTACAATGCTAAGACGTTAAACTAAATATTTCTCTACCGCCGCGAATACTCCAAGACGCAACAATGATAATTAAGCTTTGTCTGAAACAATTTTTTTAATTACATTTAAAAGCATCTTTGTAGTATAAAAATATTTTGAGTTGGTAATTTTTGTGTTAAAAAAATATTTTAAAAAATAATAAGAATAAAAAAATATTTTTTAAAAAATAGTAAGAAATCATTCCAAATGAATTCTAAGAAAAACTTGTGAATTAAAGTATTTTTGATAGTTTAATAAAGAAATAAGAACCAAATGCCATATAAAATATTACACCTGAATAATATTATGATATAAAGTAAGTCAAACAATTTAGCATGACTTTTATAAATAAATGAAAAAAAAATGTTGTCGTTGACTACTTAATAGAGGCCATTCTGTAATTAACTCCAAAATTACGGTCATTGGTTTCAAGTGCCCAATTAAATGCCTCTGATGTCACAATGCAATGCTTTCACGTAGAATATAAAGCGTAGTCAAAAACGGTCGCATATGGCAAGCAAATTAAAATGCAAAAAAAACAATTTTTTTTGAGCTAATTTAATTATATAAATTAAAATGTGTACATTTTAAATTTAAA